TAAAGAATATAGAGTCCTTAAAAAACACAGGCTCTGTTTCTTAATCACCTGCTGCCTGCAAGAGCAGTATTTCCTTTTCCACTTTTAGGAATGACTTGTTATATTTCCCTTTTTTTCCAGCCCAGCTGACAGGATAGCAGTGTTTCCTCATTACCTCCAGGGAGACAGGCAGGCACCACTCAAAGCAGCGAGAGCAAATCCTCTGCCCTTGTCCAAAAGCACTGAGATGAGCAATGCAAGCCCTCAGATTCCCTCTGGATTTTCAGGTACAGCAGCTCACCTTGCTCTGTGGTGTGGCCTTTTCCTCTTCACTCTGCCTGATCTGCTGAGCATTTGCTGTGATGATACAACAAACAGGAGCCCCACACAATATGTGGCATTAAAGAGCTTTATCTACAAATGCTTACACTTTTCCAGAAGAAATTTCCTGATCCAAGATGGAAAATAGGGTGGAGCCTTGTAATAAACATCAAACCAGTAACTCTGGAGTGCTCCCAGTCCCTCACTCCTCTTCTGGGCTGCTCTGCAAACACCATAAACTGCCAGGGTGAAGGAGTTGGATGGGAGCATCTTGAAGAAGGACATATTTGTCTGCCAGGCAGGCTTTAGAAATGTAAACCCATGTAGGAGGATCTATGCTTCAGGCTGGCTCCTCTAAAGTGAACAACTTCTAATTAATTTTTTTAAAATACTGCTACAGGCAATATTTAAATTAAGGCAAAGTGTCTTCTACTTTCTTTTACAGAAAGGCATTGTAAATTATATTTAATCTGATTAGGTAGGAAAAAATAAACCAGCTGTACTTCTAGGAGCTTTAAATATGTCCTTTTAAGCAGCATTTGAAAAAACACTCTTTATATCAACTCACTTTAATATGAGGTAAAGCACATTTAAACAGTCAGTTTAAAATACCACACAATTATAATATTATTGCAGACCCCTTGTTAGGAGGACACCTTACAGAGGGAAAAATATTTGAGCAAAAACTGCTGTCACCAAATTGTTATTTACTGACTCTGAAACTGTTAAAACATTAGACCAATATAAATTTAAGATTATGAACTTTGAAATCTGCACCACAATGTATTTAGTTAACTTTCATTTTGGAGAGAAATTATATTTCTTAAAAAATCACATAAATAGTTTCAAATAAGGAAAGATATACTGGGCAATCAGGAAGGGATTATGTCTCCTGGCCATTTCCTCCATACAGAGGACTTTATTTTTCAAAGCAGATGAATCACCTTACCTATATGTGCAATGAAAAGTCTATTTATCATTTTAAATCAATGGTCTCAGCTGCCTCAGCTGAGCCTTGGAAAAGGCCCCTGGTGCTGGATGTGGTGGTGAAGGCTGCCCAGGATACAGAGTTTGGGCAGAGCAAGGAGCAGAAGCTCAGCCTAATTCTTTCTCCACTTTATTGTATCACACCTTTATTTGCTAATAGAAGGTGTGAACATGAGGACTGGTATTTATGAAAGAGGTGAAATTGTAACCCAGCCTTGCAGTTTGTTCCATGTACACAAAACCAAACCCAACATTTAACTTATGACTGGTATGATATCCTCAAAGAGGTCAGGACCAGAAGCACAAGGAGATGTTAAAAAGAAGGTTCAAACTGACAAACAGCTACAAGTAAACACCAGTGTTTAGCAGAATCCCACTCTGTGACCAAGGTGTGTGTGCCATAGCAGGGCTGAAACCAAAAAAATACAGATTGTCATTTGTGCTTAAGTTAACAATAAAGAGCTGGAATAATTTGTTATAGCATTTGCAGAGATGCAAGAGAATATGAAACACTTACAAGTATGCCATGTTGAGGAGAATTCCTCCTTTTTGAAAATGGCTGGACAATGGCACTCAGGAGTATTTTGCCGGCTCTATTATTTTATTCTTCCTGGCCTCTTGTCACCTGATATTGAGAAAACCAAGGCAAGGTTACACTCTGGGGCTGCTTTCATATTGCTCCTTCCTCATTAACTTCTGAGCCTCAAGACCTAAGGCACCTTTTTGGGGTAATGGGTGTCAGCTGGGGAACTCTGAAGAGTTGTTGCTGCTAAATGCAGAAAATCTGGATCCTTTTCTACACTCTCAGTCCCACCCAAGCTCTTAAGAGAGAATTTAGGCCATGGCTCTAAATGGCAGGCACAGCACAGCTGAGAGGTCAGTACTGTGGAGATCAGATCACCTCAGAAAGGAGGGTGCCTGTCATTCACAAGAATTCTGTATTGCTATATACTTTACCCAGTGCAAAATGACCCATCAAACTTCATCATCTGTAATCCAAAACCAGGTAGGAAATGAAGGTAACAAGCAGCAATAACAGAAGTCTCCCTTCCTGGAAAAGTATGGCACTTCTTTCACTCTAACCAGCATTGGTGCACAGAAATCTGCCTGACCCTGCTCATTTGGGCAGATCTTCTGATCAGAGACCTACAAACCAACTGCTACCTCTTAGGGAAGGATATTGATTAACTTGTTACAGAAGCATCCTACCTTCTAAACCCATGAAAATCTTGAACAGCTTAATCCTCCTTACTAATAATTACCAGAGTTTTAACCAGTTCCATTCTGAAATTCAAAACAGACATAACACTTGGGCACCTGTGATTGTCTTAATGGAAGTGAAGATTCCCATTAGAATGGGGCACTTCACATAGATGAGGCAGAAAAATTACAGGATTCAGGGACCAAAACCTGAAAATACACAGGCTCTAATGCAAAACAGGATTCACATTTGTGGTGATGAAGACAATTAACCACAGGAACACAGGAAGGTGATAGATTGACCTCCTCTGTAAGTGAAGACTGGATGACTTTCCCAATGGTTTACTGTATCTCACACATAAGACAGTAGAAAAGCAGTAGTTATTAAATGACATTTTCCTCTTTGTGTTTTTCATGATGTCCAAACATTGGCAATGAGTCCTCCTGCCTTTACTGTTAATAAAATTTGAAGTTGTTACCTGTCCACATTTGGATACTTTATCATAGAATAAAATTTAAAAAAGGAAACAATATTGTTAAACCCCAGAGCTCAGCTGAAAACACTAGTACACGGCATGCAGCTAGAATAAAAATTAAGTTATAAAATTGGTATGTAAATATCATACTATCTATCATTCATGATTCAAAAAGCAGCCAGGAGAACAGGAACCAAAATAACAAAAGGTATGAGCTGTAATTGTATCACTAGGCATCCTTTATGCCTCTAATAAAGTACTGGAGCTTGGCTGCTGCTGAGAGGAGGAAAAGCTGATAGTACCCTGGTTGATGTTGCAGTACAGAGGAAGCAGAGAATCCTCATCTGCAGATAAAAGAGACATAAGCACTAATGAAGACATGATTAAAAAAAAAAGAACTCCCTCCCAGTCTAGTAGCCTGAAGGCATCTTAAGTGAAACGTCTGAGAATGAAAACCAATCTGTTTAATTAATGCTGAACACTAATCGTTAACACCAATTACGTAACAAAAACTATCTCAAGACAGGGATTCATGCACTAGGAAACTAGATACAGTAGACAAAACAATAATTTAAGAGCTGAACATGGTTAGTCTCTAACAAGTTCTAGCACATTTACAGGTGTATAATACAGGATTGTATCCCTCAGCTGTGACAGGGATGAGCCATTGGGGCTGGTGAGCTCTGTGATGTGAGACTTCATTCCAGCCTGACCTGTGATGTTCACTGCCATGGTTTACCTCTATTCCCCTGGTGAAGCTAGAGGCTGCCATTTCCCAAGCTTCTCTCATAACTGCTTTGGTTTAACTGGTCCCTGAGTCAGCATTTTGTAAGCAGAATGAGCCAGAGCATAAACAGCAGCTGTTCACACTCTCTTCTCAAGCTGCAGTGAGGTGGCATCAAATGAAGACAGGAAGTGACAAGCTCAGAATACATGAAGGAAGTTACCTACTTCAAATACTGCAAAAGGTTGCAGATGCTACAAAATACAGTGATTCCAAAAGTGAAGACATACCAGCATTGTGGGTGCAAAAGGAAATAAAACTCTACTGAGTTGGAAATTGGAACTGCGAATGTCAGAACACAGCATAAAATTGGAGGAAATAGGGAATGATTTGCTTGTTCATCCAGTCTTTCCCATTCCTGTTGCCTGAGGCTGGCTGTGGCTGCACATGAGACAGTCCTTTCAAGGCTGTTCTTTTAATTGGAGATTCTGAGATTGCACCTGGCTTTTTTTCTTTTTCCTCTATTAGGAACCTATAGTGACCTCTACAGTGAATGCTCAGGGGCTTACCATAGGGTTTTCAAACTGAGTGGCATGGTTACTTGGTGAATACATATAGTTATATGTCAAGTGGCAAAATCAAGGCTGGTTGCCTTGTCTATAGTGCGCTTCCATTTTAATTACACCTTTGCCTTCTGCTGCTGCAAAGCTGAGAGATCCTCTTAAGATGGAAAAGGCAACCCCTGCCTCGAGAGCTGCAGCCAGCTCTGCTCTCCTCACAGGGCTGGAAGTGCTGCCTGCCCACAGGTAAAACAAGCACAGCTCATCTCTCCACCAGACAGGTTATGCAATTCTGATTGCTGACTCCTGCCAGCTGCACTTCCTGAGGTGCTCTCAGAGGAGCATATCTGTCTCTGGTACAGCAATCTTCACTTCCAAATACCTGCAGGGATCCCTTGCTGTGCCCTTTGCTCCCAGCACCCTCATTCCCAGGTGCTATTCTTCTTCCTTTATATCCAACAGAAAAGGCTGAGATGCCCAAAAGCAAACAACCCAAATAGATCATTTTCTTGTCTGAATCAGATCTTTGCACTGTGCAAAGCTCACACCTCCTGCTGACTGGTGGACCCCAGGCATAAAACCTCAGCAGTGCCTCCAAGAGATGTAATAGTTGGTGTTATCAAGAAACTGCTGAGCTGCTGTGTCTGATACACTGCCCATAAAGCAGTCACTTGCACCCAGCCTAACACACCACACTGGATCAGCTGCTTACTCCCTTTGCAGCTCTGAAAGATGCTCCCTCAGTTTAGGTCATTTGGCCAGAACTGGCTGTCTCAGGGCACTCTGCAAAGCTGAAGCCCTTTCTCTCCCTCCCTCTCTGATTCATTTCCTCTACCTTCCCCCTAAAAGCATCAGAGCAGAATTTTGCTCAGTCTGTCCATTCCCTTCTGTTCCTGCTCCCCGTTAGCAGCAAAAAAGCTTTCCTTTGTCAGATGTGTTGGTCTGTGACTGACAAGCAATTACAATAAGTAATTTCATTTCAGTGGAAGATAATAAAACGTGATACCATAACTACCCACAGAGCCCCCAAAGTATTCATGTTCACTTTAATAACCTGGTGAGATGCTGTTAATCTTGACAGAGGCTGCCCAGCAGGTGCTGGGGAGCTGAATCCTCATATTCTTTCCCTGTTTGATGATCCTTCTACAGGGAAAGCTTCAAGCTGTTAAAATGCAACGGCCCTGCTCTATTTTTTAATTACATTTAGTTTATTAGAGATACAAAATCAGATGCATAACAAATCCTGCAGCTTGCCCTACCTTATTGAGAGAGAAAGGGACATCTGACTCACTTAGTCTCTTGCAATCTCAGATGTGTAGAGCCATTTCCCTTTGGGAGCCAGAGGCATTGACAGGAAATGCACAGCAGAGGGGGAATTCTGTTGTTTTCAAAAGCACATGATTTTTACTGATATTTCCCTGCCATGCACAGGGACCTCTTTGACAAAAGTTGCCTTTTTTATCAGATGTTCCTCCTAAAGCCAAGTTGTGCCAAGGAAATCTGGGTACCTGTTTGCCATTTAAAATTCAGTCTGCCTGTTTCCTCTGGACCAGAGAGTAAATGAGCTGTGTAAGGGTGAGGGGATAGACGCACCTGGCGCCAAAAAATATAGGCCTCCCCCCTTCAGAAAAACTGCCTTTATCAAGACTGCAGAAACAATAGCTTCCCTTGAAATGACACTCCTGGGTGCACAAGAGGAGGAGTAGGGAGAAAGCAGAATTTGCACCAGAAGCACGTCAGTGTTTCAGCAGTGAAATGGGGATGCTTTGAAAGCATCTTTGAAAGCCTGGGTGTTTCTCAGCCCATGCATCAGCTCAGTGTACACCTGAGCCATCTGACCCATGCTCCTGCTCCTGAGCAAGCAGAATCCCATCCTGCTATGAGAGCAAAGACAAAACCAACCCCTCAACCTTCTGCCAGCACTCCAGAGGGGATCATCAAACACACAGGAAGTGCTGTGTCCGAGAGGAGCTCAAGGCTGGAGCAATCTGAACTGTGTCCATCACAGAGAGGAGCCTGACACCTGATCTGTGCAGAGAGGGAAACAGGGAGAGAGAGAGCAGGATCCAATCAGACAGGGTTCCACAGCACCAATTGCCCTTTCTGTGACAAACCTAGTTTCAAACCTTCTTTAGCCATAAACACACAATAGTGGAGATGAGAAAGCAGAGACCTGTTTTGGAGAGGGCTAGTTCAGGGGCTGAAATGTGAGGATGCTCCTTTTAAATTAAAGGGAGAAAGCCAAAAGAGCTGCTCCCAGCCTAGGCAAATGAGGCTACTGCTGCTAACTTCCATGTCCACTTGGGAAGCCAGAGTCTAGCTACAACATAAACTGTAAGGCCAGCATGTTCCTCATCAAAACCCACAAGCTGCTCTCCCATAGCATCTTGTTCATGTTAAATCCACTACTGTGATTAAATTGTTTTCTAAGGTGTTGAGAAGTAACTGAAATGCTTATAAATAATCCAATGAAATTACAACAATAATTGATATGGCTGTCTCCCTCTTGCAAAGGTAATACACAGATTTCCATCCCCCAGCAGGTGGGATGGAAATGGATGGGATGGATCAGGCTTCCTGATATGACCTCTTCAGAAAGGAGGGTCTACATAGCTCAGATCTCATTCTGTTGCAAATTGAGAGATGGGAAAGTGTTGTGGTTTGACACTGAGCAAACACCAGGTACCCACAAAAGCGTCTTACTCACC